CTTGGTGATTTATTAATCACAAAGAGTTGTGATTGTGAGATACAAATTACAAATGATCGAATCTTAAATAGTTCGTGGTCGAAGTAATAACGAGATATCTATATCGAGACTAAGAAACATCGTTCTGAGATGTTGAACAATGGGGGTGAAAATGCAGAGTCAGGGAGCCGTCGTTTACCAAAGTCCCTGGGCCTGATCCTTTCTTTTGCTGAGTACAACGATTCTCCAAGTTGCAGTCCTAGAAAATACGGTGATGATATATTCATAATTGCCAAGGTGAGGTTATCTCCTCGAGGCATGGCTAACAACATGAACGGGCTTGTGCAAGAAAACCATGAAAATCATCCGAGTTCGTCTGGGCCAAACTTAGAGAGTCATCTTCCCATAGCTGGTGACAATGCCAATGGTTCGCAGGTTCGGTGCTGCCGGAGAAGGACATGATTGTGGTGGTGGTTTTGTGGCAGTGGAAGTTCAAAGTAGGATTCAACAGTTTTAGATGTCGACGAAAACATTTAGATACAGTAACGACTTCTGTTCTTCATCAATTTTGGCGTCGATCGGAGGCGGAGATGAGTCCGACGATGTTGTCTCGCTGTTGTGAAGGGAGGAAATTGGAGATGGTAATGGAGAGGTTTGGAGGGTTTTCAATTTGGGAAAAATGAATGAGTTCTGAATTCCTTTATGGATTTTTAGGGAAGATGATTTAGGATGTGCAGGTGATTAAGTGGGAGGATTTGACTTTTGAGAGATAAAAGTTTTAATTAGTTTCAGGGTATTATTCTAATTGATTAATTTTGGAGGGTAGTGAGCCTAATTATCCCTTAATTGTAGTGCAGTTGATAGATATGATCAATATATTATGGGCTTGTTTGAGCCCTTTATTTTTCTTTTTTTTTTTTCAAAAAAATACATCTTGTAATAGTGTTACGATGGAAAATGTGTAGTTAAAAAATAATGAAATTTTTTAAATTTGCATGTAATATTATTTTATTAAAGAATATGTGGTTGAAATGGGGATCGAATCATTGTTCGAGAATTCATTTTGATGAAAAAAATGGGGCTCAAACAAGGATTATATATGATTCATAAAATACGGTCTTAATTAATTATATTAGGTTGAAAATAATATTTAAATGAATACATGTGAATTCTCTTTAATTCCTTAAATTTTATTTAGATTGTTAGCATAATATGAAATTAGATAAATGGCTTAAATTCAAGTCTAATTTTCGTCGGGAAGAAAAATTTCTCATTACTAGAAAAAATAGAAAGAAAGAGGAAACTTCTTAATTAGGATCAAAATACTAGAAATCTTACCATGTAAGGTTTTTTTTTATTTTAAGAATAATTTTCAAAATCCAAATTATGATTTTTTTTGTGTCGATGCAAAGAGAACGAGTTATTTTCTTATTAGTAAACTAAGAATTGTTTTTAAGAAAAAAAATATTTTAAAAGAAGGAAAAAAAAAAAAAAGTAAATCATCTAAAAAATAGTTGAAGACGAAAACTTAAATAAAAGTAAGTTTACCTTTCAAGTTTTAATCACACATGACCTTAAGTTGTAAAAAATGGGGGCTTTTTTTGAAGGGAAACCTCAATGTAAGATAGCTATATTATGCATGATTCATGAAGTGGAAATACTAATGATGCCATTATATGAATAATGTAGCAAATAATTCAATTATTTAATAATTTGTACCACCAATCTTAATTTAATTCACAGATGGGTCCTTCAAATAACAAAAATAATTGATTAAGGTAAGATATTAAGGGGAATATAATCTCAAGTTCCTTCGCATTCATGCCATAGGTAAACGAACTTACTCTCTTAATAAACTCATTTGTCGTCTGAGCCCACAAGCCTTGAATAGGCCTATACAAACACATTTGATGTATGATTTTGGTGAGAAGAAACTGCACTAATCATAAAAGTTGTGCAAGAATTATGTTTATTTTGAAGGCCAAATTAAAATTAATATTTTTGTTCCATTTTTAACACTTCAATCTTTTAGACGAAGTAGGTAAAAAAGTTACAACTAAACAACTCTTCATCACAATTCTAGAATTTACATAGATAATTTCTTGTAAATTAATTGTAGAAAATCTATTCAACACAATTGTAAAATTGCTCTTACTTTACAATTGTATAGTTTGATAGAAAAATTGAAAAGGAA